ACGCTACCCCGTTCCCAGGAACGGGTAACGCAACATACATTTTTTTCACTTTTAACAGAAGCTTTACGAAGGGTGGGGTGTGTGGGTGTGGGGTGTGGGATGTGGAGTGTGGGTGTGGAGTAGGGAACTGCAAAATCACTTTTTTTAGTCCCGGCCCCGGTCAAATATTTTTTTTGGTGTGGGTGAGGCATTCTTGTCTTCATCCACTTCTACACCCGCACTTCACATCCATACCCACACCCACACCCAACCTCACCCACACCCACACCCAACCTCACCCACACCCACACCCACACCTACACCCACACCCACACCCACACCTACACGCACACCCACACCCTTCGTAAAGCTTCTGTTAAAAGTGAAAAAAATGTATGTTGCGTTACCCGTTCCTGGGAACGGGGTAGCGTTCCCCGTTCCCAGGAACGGAATGCCAAACTGACACCCTACCCCACACTCTGAGAATTTTTGTTTTAAGGGTTAGTTACCCGTGAAAGCGTGTAATTCGTCTCGGGAATCGGAAACTTTCCCTAATTCTATTACTCATTCTCATTTTATGAATGATCAGCTATGCTCCCAAATCCCATTTTTACGAGCTTTCATTTGATATAAAATTCATTAGTGAATTTATTTGAAATTGAAGTAGTATTCCCTGGAATAATGTTATTTCCTACTCTGTAATTACAAAAATCGGATAGAAGTACTGATTGATTTCATGGTGTTATAAAAGTAGTTTCTGTATACGGTAGATGGGAGAATAAAGATGAAAAGCGTAGTCATGCCGGGTGTAAATGAGATAAAGTAGCTTAAAAGAAAAATATATGGTTGCTGAGGTGACATCATGCATTGGTGAGCTGCAGCGAAAAGTATTCGTGGTAGAGCTAGCATCGTTAAGACCAACGGACTTATAATTAAGTGGCGGTGCTCATAAAGTTGCTTGCAGAACAGTTTCGCATATATTTGCTTTGTTAGAATTCGAGACTTTAAACGAGTCGTTCGAAAAATGATAACCAAAGCAGATATTAGATTAACAATGGAAGGAATCGTTAAATGAACGACAGTGGCGGCTAATATGTACTTAGATTGGCGACCATAATCAGACGTACACCATAAACGGTTGTCAATAGTATCAAAAGTTAGATGCTGACGGAGAGGATCTTGAATGAATGTGACAAAAGGGAGTAGTATAACAACAGCAGAAGTCCACTTTGCAATGCACCTACTCTTAATTTTGTAAAAGCCTCTACCAGTGAGAGAAAAAATCGAACGTTCGATACTAACACAGGCATGCAGCCAGTCTCCTGCAATTGGAAAACATTTCAATAAATAATCGAGAATTAAGCAGGCAGCATAAAGAGTAATATGATTCTGCACCATCAATATTTGGGTCAACAGAAGATGAGTGAACTTAATGGTTAGTAGAATCATAGTCAACATATGCACCACTGATGATAGTAGCAAATAGATGCCCGAGCCGGTATCCTTGACATTGAAGAAAGTGACAAATACCAACAGATTGCTTACTATACCAACGAAAACAATCACACATATAATTGCCAGACTTAGCTTGACAATTTGCGGTTGCTTAAAGAGAGATGTAGAGGGATGAATATGTAAACCAAGGATGGCATCAAGTGAGAGTGCAAGAGCACTAGTTGAAAACTGACAAATTGATCCGTAGAAACATGGAGCACATCGACAAATTGAATTTTGTGGACAATAATCATTGTCTTGAACACATGCTGCTCCGTTTTGACATTTGGATTTGTTGCTCTGGCAATCATGTAGACGAGAGATGAAATGAAAACAATCTGTGTGGCTATTATGATCACAAAAACACATAAATGATTCATCAAAAAAACATGTAATGGGTTGCGTTCGGCATGGTTTTTGGTAGTATTTTATTCTTTTTAAAGGTGGGTAGGCCAAAATGGTGGCGTTCAACAACTTGCTGATGTGAAGACAGCGCTTTGACGAGTGAATATTTATCAGCAATTCGCTGACGTTATTTGTATCATGAAGTACAGCTATCAAATAATAGGCATCGACAGATGAGATCGTTTGCATAATAATTATTTGAGGTACTGTCTCCTCATTCAATGTCAAAGTATAATCAGTTTGATACAGACTGGATAGTTGCTTGAATAAGGCTAAACGGCGAGGTTCATGATTGGTTTGCAGACGAACAGCATGTATTATAAATGAGGCAGGTAAGTCGATATCAAAGTGAATGAGTAATCGAGCTGCAAGAATCTCACAACGGTTACCGATAAATCCCTCTGGACAAAAACACACTACACTTTCGAGCCGTAAATCAACGGCTATACATGTCCCATTATTTTGACCTGAAATAAAGAATGATTTTGAAGTTGAAAGCGAATAGTATGTTAAGAAGATAGCCAAGCACATCATGAAGCTTTTTGAGTCAGTAAAAAACTTACAAATATTAGATGGTTGATCGCACAGCAATTGCCGAAAAGAAACGTAGCAGTTTTGACCACTCCAACCTAATGGACATATACATGTTAGGGTTCTAGATGCTGTTCCAACACAAATACTATGAGGTGCGCAGGAACAATTGACTTTTGGGGAAATGTCACACAAGCGTCCCATCCAGCCATGAATGCATCGACAGAATGTGTCATTCGTGTTCACATAGTTTATACATTCACCATTAATACAATTCAGAGTACAGTGTGAATCCGGTGGTACATCAGGTATAATAAGTGAACTCGTTATTCTATTTACTGGAAGGAAAGGAAATTGAATATTGTACCTCCATGAAGCATGAAAATGAGGTGTGACTAACGAATATATGATAGTCGAAACTAGATAAGCATCAATACGTACATAGTATGAATCGTGACGCCCATGAGGATAAGTTAAGTAAGCAAAATACTTCGTTTCACATTCCGCTGATACATGGAAGAACCGCTCATGTGTCACAATATTTGAAGTAAGATTGTCAATAAAAGAAAGAACGAATTCGACAACAATGTGACGTTCTCTGAGCAACTGGGAGATTTGAATCTTCAGATAGATTCCAAGGCGTTCACGTTGAAACTGACATCGCTTTCCATAATATGATGGTGGACAAAAGCACAGAGACCGTGTATAGGAGAGTGCAATTAGACCTCGATTACAATGCCAAGTCATGTAGGCATATTTGTAGGGATCAATGGAATTTCTACGCGGTTGTATAGTGATAGATGTCTTGTCGAGGTTAAAGTAAGTAAAAGGTGAAACATTAGTCAAATCACAAAACATTTCATCTTCACCCCTTGAACAGTCAGCCAATTGGTTACAACGATTGTCAAAGGCTATAATCTTTTTATCATCCACAGAATTAGTTTCCTGACAATGATATATTTTGGCACCATTAAAAGAATTCGTACAACTGTATTTTCCTGACTTGTTGAACCAGGTACACGCACGCCACTCATCTGTACCCCCCGGGCAATCATTCGAGCAGTCACATACTTGTAATGAACTGATACAGATATCACTGTCGAGACAGCGATAACGCCGCATTATCTCTTCTGGATATTTCTTACGACAAAAATCACGTTCGTCAGTAGCTCCTACAAAAAACATATTATGTCGGATTTGATGAAACACGATAATAAGAATTATTATTTAGTATGCAAATGATGAATGGCCAGCAAGAATAAAAATAGAACGGAATTTACAAATTTGCTTTTCCATTAAATACACGTCTACTAGAAAACTGCATGTTCTTTACAGTTTGAAATCTTGATGGTCGCTCTGTAGATAATGAGAGATTGACAAGTATGCTTTAAAGATGAGGGTCTACGCTTGGGATAGAGCGTACAAGTTCATTCAGAGATTAAAAAAAACAGTTAGTTATGGTATCTGTCAGAAATTCCGTTCAAGGAGCAGTGACTTTTAAATTTGGTTTTGATAGTTATGAATATGTTAAACATACTAAATAGACATTTAGGTTACTTACCTAGGCAATCAATTTGATTGTCTCCCGCTTTTATTGGATCGAGACAAGACCATTCATGAGTGTCGACGCGAATGCAAAAGTGTCGATTGGTCTTTTCACATTCAGCTTTGTCAAGAAAGACATCAGTTCGCGTGCAATTAAGTTCATCAGTACCATTCGGACAGTTCCAAATACCATTGCACCGAGTGTAGCGATTATTACAAGACCATTCATGAGCGAGACATTCACTCTCGTCAGTAGCATTACTGCTATCGGACCATTCTAGATTCTGAACAAACCTGATTTCATCTAATCCATTGCAAATAAAGGAAAATGGAATTGCTTTAAGTAAATCAGTTGTTCCTCTGGCATACTGACAACCGAAATCTCGAGGTTCGACACATGTGCTTGGTCCAATTTCATCAGCTCGATTAATGCAGTCCCTGAAGCTGTTCATAACCTTTCGCCGTGGTATGCATGATGTTGATGTGCAATGAAATTGATGATTAAGATTGAATGCGCAAGTGTCCATTGACTTGTCTTCATCAGTCGAATTGATGCAATCATGGAAATCATCTAGTAGTCGATACGGTGATATGCATCTGAATGATCCATGACAACGGAATAGTCCACTTGGACAACCAAAAGTTGTATCATTGTGCTGCATAGGAATCAAATTGGGTAATGATGAGCAGCTCCGAAAAAACATATGAATCAAATCTACATATTCAACCCAAGTATCTCTTGGCGATGAGTAAAGAAGTGGAAGTTCATTATATTTTATGCAGGTAAGATTAGCCACTCTCATCGTACCAGTGAGCACAGGACAGATTTGTGGATCATAGCAAACAAAATCAGGTTGATTATCCCTTAGCCAGTTTCGAGAGTAGTTTTTTTTGTAAAGAAAATGTACGTGTGTCGACATGACAGGACGAGATGGAAAGAAGAAATATCCGTCAGGGCAAACTGTATTCAACATCCAGGAGCAACTTCTAATCCGACTGCACACGTCAATACACTGGAATTCTGTATAATAATAATCTAGTTGGAACAAACATATCATAACTTTCCAACATACATCCGACAAGTTGTAACCGAGTATATAACGTATGAGACGCACATCCCGACCGTTTCCACATCGACTGGAAGTATCGAAAAAATAAAAATAATTAGAATCCGTTGTGATTGTTTCACGGCATTGTCCGTCACCACATGGAAAAAATTGTCTGTGTGGACATATACTTTCTTCACAAAGAAAATTGTCACTACGATAGCATAAAGATCTGGTCACAGTATATTCTAAAATAGTTGTCATCGAATAATAAAAGAAAGAAAAATCAACAAAAATATAAGGTCTATTAACTAGTAGAAAAACTGGAATAAGGCTGATCCCTTCTTTTTTTGACCATCTCTGGATCTCGAACCAAATACAGCAAACCTGAATTGAAACTTTTACTACGTCTATAATGTCTAAGCGATAAGATTTGCGATTCAGGAAAAGATTAATTTCAATGTTTTAGAGAAGACTTTAGTTGTCTATAGATTTGATCGTTTTCAATTAAGAGTTTCTGCAATATCACTTAATTTGTCTGAATTTTTTGTTGCCAACTCGAACAAGACCTAAGATGTATTTTTAAAGGTTTTTCACTATTTCAAATCGTTGTTTTTTATTTCTAGCGCACTCCAAAGTATCAAGTAGCCAGTTTATGTTCTTTAAAGCTCCATCACGCCATATTGGAAAATCAAAAATATAAACGAACAATATTACCTATACAGAGTATTTATGGGTATCTATGCTAAAAATCTCAGCCAAAGCAAATGAACTTAAAAAAGGTTCAAAATAGGTGTGTTTTCAGAAACTTGTGTTTAGCGCAATGAAGAATTGCTGACTGTATCTTTCTGCGAACACAACTTCGAAAATGAATGATGTAGTCAGGAAAAGTTGGTTGGAAATATGAAGCCATGACAGACGAAATGCACTGAGTCCTTATACCGCAGTGTGGCGCTAGGTTTATCAATAAATTTTTCTAAGAGAACAAGATCTTTTGAAGACGATGTACTGCTCTCGCCTGCACCATACAAATAGAAACAGAATGAGAAGCTTTTACAGTTTCAGAGAACGATTTCAAACTCTGGACGCATTTATAATTGTGCTGAAAATATTTTCCTGTTTATGCAGCTTGATGATTACGGGCTCCGAAAATAATTAGCCGCCACTAAAACTAGTCAGTAAAATGCGAAAGTAGTGATAGACTTGGGGTAGAAAAACACCAAGAATCAGTGGCATCTGTAAGTAGAAGAAGACGAAGAAGAATAACTCGCCTTTCGGCTACCTTGTGGTGTAGGATGCTGTTCGAGAACAGTTTCGAGAGCCTGATATTTTTCCTGTATCTATTACTAAATGTAGCTCTGAACAGAAGGCCAGCCTGACTCAGAGTTCTTTCGCTTAATCACTTAAGCTCTCCAGACATACTGAATAACCACATACTAGTCAGAAGGACTTTTACTGTATGTCAACCACGTAGTCAGTTTGTTAGCAGATGGATAATCCGAAACAAAGCAGCCGTTAGTGACTTGTCTAAGGTCATTTTATGACTCATGGAGCTGAGGCTCGAATACAGTATCTTGTGGGTATGTGTCGAGTCGAGCATCTTAACTAGGCCTAGGACAGTTCCATATCAGTTCCGCTCTTGAGAACTGTTCAAACAGTTCTTTAATAGGAACTGATCTGTACCGACCAGTTCTTTCGAAAGAACTGATCTGTGCCTACCAGTTCTTTGATTGGAACTGATCTGTAACTACCAGTTCTTCCAGGGGAAAAAGGAGATTTTCGTATCCAGGGTGTGGCTTTGGGTGGGAGTGGGTGTCGGTGGGTGTGGGAGGGGTGCGAAGTTACCGTTACCGGTAACTGGTAACGGATCCGTTACCACGTTATCGAGGAACGGTAACGGCAGTAACTTTTCCGGGTGTGAGGTCTGAGTATGCGTGTGAATGCTGAGAGAAGACTTATACCCACACCCACGAACACCCAACCCAACCCACACAAAACCCACACCCAGTTCTCGAAAGAGAACTGGTCACTTTAGCCAGTTCTTGAAAAAGAACTGGTCACTTGGCCCAGTTCTTGAAAAGGAACTGGTCACAATAAGCAGTTCTCGAAAAAAAACTAGTAACTTTGCCAAGTTCTTCACCAAGAAGTGGCCACGGTAGCCAGTTCTTGAAAAAGAACTGGACGTTTAACCCAGTTCTTTTTCGAGAACTGGTTGCAATAACCAGTTCTCGAAAAAGAACTGCCGGGTGTGTACAGTTCTTAGAAAAGAACTGCCGGGTGCACACAGTTCTCGTCAACGAGCTGGTCACTTTAACCAGTTCTCGAAAAAGAACTGGTCACTATACCCAGTTCTTAGAAAATATACAGTTCATAGAACTGGGAACTGCTCTGGGCCTAATCTTAACCATTCAGCGATACCGACACTATAAGTAGTGTCCCGGATCGAAAGTCTGAGAACATTCTTCCGAGGATTGTACGGTCATTTTCTTGGAGAAAGAACAAGAAGTTAGCCGGAAGTCACCGAAAACTGTTCAGTTCGTGATACTGCTTCCAAGCTCTATCGAATTTCGGTGTTATTCTCCTACTTAAACCGGTCTGTACTTCTCGACGTCGGTATGAACTGATCAGGTCATGACGGTAAGAAGAATTTGTGGCAAGTGCACTAGGGTATAGCAATGATTGTTCATGTATTTGGAATATATGATTGTGAAGCGCTACTCATATGATTTAAAAGTCTTCATCATAAACTTCGTCATTCTGCTCTATCGAAATTGCCTCCTCCCCTATCCAAATTCTCGAAGATGGTGGCAACGCCAGCCAGAGACTATCACACACATTGTTAATATCGGATCTAGGATCGTATATTAACAGCGTCTACAAAAAACAATCGCACTATGACATTTTTTTCCATAAAAAAATGCATGCCGTGGATATGGGCACCGTCCTCAAAATTCTCAATATCCCACTAAGAAGAAACTAAGATGCAGAAATTCTTTCACAATATTTAGTTATTTTTCAGTCTTTTGAATGCATATAGTCTTAATTCAACATGAAATGAATTTGTGAAAATATTCTATAGTAAGACTCATCGAAACTAAAATACTTTTTCATTTTCCGTGAAATATGTACTGTCTATCCTCAGCTAAAACATACAAAAGTGTTATCTTTGCAAAATCTAGAAAAGTTTGCACTGATATTGAAGGTAGTTTTCCATGAATCTATAGTTACCGAAATTAAGGCGTCGAATATCGAAAATTTCGTCACTTTGATCTGCACATTCAGTACTTAAGTCACGGAAAAATTCTTCGGGAATGCAAGCACCGTTTGTACATCGAAACTCATCAGATCGGCATTCGTTGATCTCCATTTGCCAACAATTAAGCTCATCTTCACCATTCAAACAGTCCACTTGTCCATTGCATATTTCACGCCAATCTAAACATCGTTCTCCGCCAATATTACATTTTGGTAAGCCAGTATAGCATGTACCTTCATTCGTAATGCCTAGAACACCCATTACAGGTATATCAAGTCGCGCCTTCAGCCGTTCAGCTAAGATGCTTTTTAAATCAGAGTAATGAGAGTCAAAACCATAATTATATTGGCAGAAACGACCAAACCAAGGTGCTGTACAATTCCAGAAAAAAGCATTTTCGTTTACTTCATTGTTGTACGTTACATAGCACTCAATTACGTCCAGCGGAGCATCCCATTTATAAAGCTGATCAATAGTAACATTAGTTCGACGAAGCTCGTCGAACGAATATCGAACACCTCGGATGTGTGATGGATTTAGTTGAAAATTTTGCTCATCCATTAACTCTGTTTCGTTCAATCGAATACAATAAGGAATGAGTACATAACGACGATCTTCGAATTTGCTACTATACAGACAATCATAGTCCTGTTGTGGTGCTAAGTATGTATTATATAAAAGAAGTTTCGTTTGGCACATGGTGAAATAAAAGACATAGAACAGCCAAAGTAGACGCATAGTAGTGTGAGTCTTTAACCAAGTATCTGGTCAATTGCTTCTTCAAGATGTTTTAATATGCTTTCTCATTCAAAAAATTACAATAATTTGCCTGTAACAGTTGATGTAGATCCTTGTTATTGAATATTCATCTTCATTAACATCGATTGCATTTTTAAAATATTATTAAAAAAAGATCTCTGAAAAGACAGCAGAAACTATCTGACAGAAGACAATAGAATAGGGTGATAGGGCATGAGTGTTGGTGTGGGTGTGGGGTGTGTATGTGCATGCCACAGTGAATAGCAGACCCAGATCCAAAACGAAACCTACCCACACCCACATCCACATCCACCCACCTTCATTACAAGACGCCATTCCTAGTTTTTATACACAAAGACAGCAATAAGAAAAGTTACGCAAAATAAAATGGTACAACTATTCTAGGCTAATCAACAAAATAATAGAAGTAAAATCAATTGTTCTCTTTTATGTAGTTCCATATTATACGTGGTAGAAAAATATCATTTTTTAAAATCAAAACCCTAACCTTAAACCTACTAATTTGCATGTTACCATTTAAATTAATGTCTTTTTTATACTTTAAAGATGGTAAAATATAAATGTTAACTTCTGTAAAACCTGAACAACTGATCTCATCGAAAGATCACTTTGAGAAAACACACTGTCAACTGATGCTACTATAGCAAGAACACATAACCTTTCTGGTCAGTTTATTAAGAGATCCATATGAATTTGCTTTTTTTGAAAATAGAAGGGCGAGTGTATGAGCATAAGATCTTAGACTTACACCATTTTTTGAAAAATAATTAACATGAAATGAATGGTGGAAAGATTTGATGATCAAAAATACTGTCACCCAATGATTATATTATAGCATGAGAAAGAATATGACGCGTAATGCAATACAACGCTTTCATTAATTTTATTACATACATGTATACACACTTCAAAGATGAACCGGAATAAAACAACGAGAAAAGACATACGTATTCATTAATATTTGTAGGCTATTATGTATGAGCATATGAATACATAATTTGAAAAACGCGCTTGAAAAACTCACTCAGATGCAATATATTCAATTAGGACGAACGTTATGAAAAGTGACAGTTTAATTTTACAAATTGTGATTCTTTTAATAAGAGCAAATGAAAATTTTTTCTAATGAATTACTCGAATATGATTTGAGTCAAACAGTCGAGTCAGCATTACCAAATTTTCCAGTCAGAGTCATTAAACAAATGTGAGTCGAGTCGACTCGAGTCTGAGTCATGACTCGGACTCGCCCATCCCTGCAGGTGGTCAATGGCCTATCCGGGAAAATGTTTTGGAAGATAATAAGATTTTATGACTCGAGCACTAGCAAAATTTGCTCTTGAAACTATCACCTTATACGCTAAGGTTTAGTCTATCACTCATACAAATATGTAAAACACTAGCAACTACTTTCATCCTACTTGCGTACACATTGGTAGAATCGAACTGTTAATATTGAGTTCGGATTTTTGTAGAAAAATTTTCTTGTGAAAATGTTTTTTCTGGAAAATTTCCTTAAATATTTCTAAAAAAATCTTTGCTTTGCGAATAAGTTTGCTTAACAAATTCTCAAAATGATAGAAAGTAAGTGTTTGTTAATTCTCGTATTTGAATTTCTTTTTTGCAACCTATTTTTTATATTTTAAGACTTATTTGCACTTAATGGAAGACTGGTATTCTTACAAACAATCTTTGTTGCAGACACGGATGAAGAGAAAAATTCCAACATTACACGGGACAAGTTCTAGTCCTACTCACTTGTATTTTTAGGATAGGTACGTACCTGTTCTAATTTACTATATACTGATATATTTAAAGCAGTGACTTCGTTAAATTTATATATTAGAGTCAGAATATTTTGTTGCTATAATTTAGGAAATCATCGACGTTTCTGCCATACAAAAGACGTATTGCATAAAGAAAAAATTGCTTTGCTTTACATTCTTGAAATTTTGGCTCTGACTCATAAGCTGTCGTTTTGCAATGAGAATGGCCCGAATGCTCTTAAAGTCTATCATGGCAGATACGATTTTTAATGAGTGCACGGCTCACTGATGCCAGTTCTCAATATACTTTATGAAACAGAGGAAATGTTGATAAAGAAAGCACAATCACGAAAAAGAAGTTACCTGAAGAAAAAAAGGATACTTTTAGTACTTTGTAGCTATGAGTGAAATCGAATACAACTGTTTTGGCATGAATTTGCAATATAAGATTTTGGGGAGGGGCAGAACTTTTCAATTAAGATGTTTCAATCTATGATGCTATTATTTCGCGCACGCGATTTATACGTTTGCGTAGCAGAAAATTATCCATCCTTTAAAATGTGAACGAAATTTCATTAACAAGCTGAAAATAAAATAAGACGTCAGACGTCGTATGCCTAATCTGGGCAGTCTTTTAGAATCATTCGCATATGGTTTACTGTGTCATTTTACGTAAAACTAACCAAGAGCTATGGATTATACAGTGTCTCATTACATTTAACCATTCTTTTCAGCCTTCATTTAATATAATATAAAACAAGACGAGATGACTATACTAAGGATAATGGTTTTCTGTTACAATAAACACGCATTGCGAATGAGTACTGTTCCACTAATTAAATCGTTATTTGACGATATGTCCCACGACACTATTATCCTAACGGCTGTTGTTTCCCATCGATTAGGGGCTATGCGGCCCGATATGAGTGATGGATATGGATATTCGTTTTAAAATGCTTTATTCTATAGTTATATAACTCTAGTGAAATTCACCCTCATCGGATCCAATCGGATTTTCAACTTATTCTGATACTTTCCGATGGTCGGGCCATACAATCAGATTGTTCATTCTAAGAAGATTCACAGTAGAAGCGAAATAGAGGTAATCAGATAAGTTTCACCACGACCTTGATTTAGTTAATCGAATACATCTCACACGCAGTGCCAATTTTTGACATTTACGAGCTATTGCATTAGACGGGATATAATTCGCGGACGCGAATAATAAATTTACAAAGGCAAGAAATGGTTTATTAAATGAAGAATTTACCATAGATGGAGTGTTGACTGATTGGACAAACGTCAATGGCAAATGGCAAATTTAAAAATCGACAAATGTCTATGAGGATGCTGCCAACATTATATTGATTCAGTGTCGGAGTCAATTATCAATTTAATGCTATTATATAGTCACGTATGCAATACGTGCTTTCTCCAGAGTTCCAATTCCTGAAGAAATAACATTCTATTTGATTTCTGTGATTATAAACGATGAATCTAAAGATACGTAGTTATCCGATATTCTACTGGATCATTAGAGTTAAGATTGCGTCGATGTCATTTTTTATGTAAATGGCATGTTGGGGAAATATCTAGATTCAGGAGAGTGGGAAGTTGGGTCTGCTGTGTGTGAGTGTGGGGCATCCGGCATGCGCTGGGACGTAAATGTGGATGAAGACACCGTCCACTGCCACACCCACACCCACACCCACACCCACACCCACACCCACACCCACACCCCACACCCACG